GGCCGGCAACCCCCGGGTTTCTAATTCCCAGGTTGGGGCCCCCGGATTTTTTTCTCCGGTTTGCCCCTTTTTCCAGGGCCAGTTTTTTTGTTGTGGGCCGGGGAGTGGCCATTGGAGGGATGGCCCCAAGTGCTTGGGGCCCCTGTACCCCCATGGGGAGGCCCAGGGAGAAGGCACCCTGGGTCCTTCCCCTGGCTCCTGCCTTCGGATCGGCGCGGTGTGCCGGCTGCAGCCCGCCGGCCGTGGCGGCAATTGGAGGGTGAACCAACGGCAAGGAAGACCTTTCTCTCTGTCTCTCTCTCTCTCACTGTCCACTCTGCCTGTCAAAAAAAAAAAAAAAAAGAAAAGAAAACGAAATTAATGGCCGGTGCCGCGGCTCACTAGGCTAATCCTCCACCTAGCGGTGCCAGCACACTGGGTTCTAGTCCCGGTTGGGGCGCCAGATTCTGTCCTGGTTGCCCCTCTTCCAGGCCAGCCCTCTGCTGTGGCCTGGGAGTGCAGTGGAGGATGGCCCAAGTGCTTGGGCCCTGCACCCCACGGGAGACCAGGAGAAGCACCTGGCTCCTGCCCTCGGATCAGCGCGGTACGCCGGACGCAGCGTGCCAGCCGTAGTGGCCACTGAAGGGTGAACCAACGGCAAAGGAAGACCTTTCTCTCTGTCTCTCTCTCTCACTGTCCACTCTGCCTGTCAAAAAAAAAAAAAAAAAATGAAATTAAGTTTATTTTGGTATAAGAAAATCTTAAAATTTATGCAGTTTTCCCTAATATGCATTTTCCATGAACAGTTTCAAGATCCCTTATATGTATAAATTTCCAAAAATTGTACCAAAATAAATTCATCTTTTGATTTTGTTTTATAAAAATATTTCCAAGTACTCTTGTACTGTAAGTATAAACAGTTTCCTTTATAGGAAAATTCAGAATTGCCAGATTCACAAATATAGCAGATATAAGAGTTTTGCACCTTGCACAGGGGCACATAAATGGTTAAAACATCAACTATTACATATAAAATTACCAAGAACAGAAAGAATATAAACATCTATCCATTATAGTTAAATCAAAAAACTAAGAGTCAAAACTTTGTCAAACTGACATTTTTTTAAGAAGACATAAACTGACATTCAAAACAACAACAAATACCGTGTGACCAGGAAGGGATGAAGTGTGGTCTTTAAGCATACCTCTGCAAAACACTTCCTGAGTGTATCTGGGACTTTACCATCCACCACATGGAGCATTCTTTCCATTTCTTCCCGTACAACATAGCTCCCGGATTCACTTGAAAAAAGACTAAAAATGTCTAGGAGAAAACATGATAAAATACATTAATTTCAACATATATCAAATATATCCTGGTGAAAGTAGGGAGAGGAGAAAGCTATCAACAACTGAGTGATTACTAGTGCCAGCACTTTATAAATATGAATTAATTTATTCCTCAAAATAACCCAGTAAACAGCAATGTGTGAAGTATATTTTCAAACTACCAATCTGGAAAAAAAAGTTTAGGTATGGCAATATTAAATGTTAGCAATGATTGGGACAAAAGGGATCCTTATACCAAATGGATACCTCAAAAAGTCTGTGAGGTCTATGAGGTAGTGGATATCTGACCTGGCAATTAAGATCCTGATTAGGATACCCATGTCCCAAGCAACAGTACCTGGCTTTGAGCCCCACTTCTGGTTTCTGATTCCAGATTCCTATGAATGTAGACTGTGGGAGAAAGTAATGACGGCTCAACTTAGTGGGGACGTTGCCTGTCAAGTGTGAGACCCAGATTGAGTTCTGGGCTCTAGGCTTTAGCCTGGTCCAGCCCCAGCAGCTACAGGCTTGTGAGGGGTGAACTAGTAGACGGGAGCACTACTTATCTCTCTTTCTGTCTGCCTCTCAAATAACAGTAAAATAAAAATATACTATTCGGGGCCGGCATCGTGGCTCACTTGGTTAATCCTCCACCTGCAGCGCTGGCATCCCATACGGGCGCCGGGTTCTAGTCCTGGTTGCTCTTCTTCCAGTCCAGCTCTCTGCTGTGGCCCGGGAAGGCAGTGCAGGATGGCCCAAGTCCTTGGGCCCCTGCACCCACATGGGAGACCAGGAGGAAGCACCTGGCTCCTGGCTTTGGATCAGCGTAGCTCCGGCCATTAGCGGCCATTTGGGGGGTGAACCAGTGGAGGGAGGAACTTTTTCTTTGTCTCTCTCGCTAACTCTATCTGTCAAATAATTAAATAAATAAAATTTTGTAAAAATTTTTTTTTAAAAAATATACTATTTAAGGGGAAAAAGCAAATTACAAAACAATATGTATATCATTTTATAAAAATGCTAACGTTTGCATAACGGTTGAAGGTATTTTTATTTTTATTTATATTTTATTTATTTGACAGGTAGAGTTATAGACAGTGAGAGAGAGAGACAGAGAGAAAGGTCTTCTTTCCATTGGTTCACTCCCCCCAAATGGCCGCTACGGCCGGTGCTGCACT